TTTTTTTTTTTTTTTAAATTTCCTTCCTCCTGTGGAAGGTGTTGTAGCAGCAAGGTGCGTAAAAGGCACCGGTGGAACAAAAGCCAAGGTGACCTTGCCTCTGCCCGTGGCTCTCCTCCCAGGGCGGTTCTGGAGGACTGTCTCGCAGCTGGGGTGATAGGCTTCCCCTCTCTTTCCCCTAGTGTCTGCGGTAGGGTCAGACATGCCGTTCTCAAACAGCCACAACCTGCTGAAGATGAAGAACTCTGCTGAGGATGAGTACCCAGACCTGAGTGCTCACAACAATCACATGGCCAAGGTGCTGACCCTGGACCTGTACAAGAAGTTGAGGGATAAACAGACTTCCAGTGGATTTACGCTGGATGATGTCATCCAAACTGGGGTTGACAACCCAGGTAACGGCCAGAACCGTTAGAGCTGCATTAATGATCTGTTCTCCCTCGTTACTGGAAGTGCTTCTTGACAACAGCGCCCAAGGCTCTTGAGCTGCTGAGAGGCAAATCTCATAAAGCAGTGAGAGACAGCTCTAAACGCATGGCTGTGTTAAAAGAGGCCTTGTTCTGTCAGGCCATGTTCCTTGCTATGATCTGGCATATCAACTCTCAGACACTTCAATTATGTAACTGCTCTGCTAAATACTTCCAATTTGGGGAGAAAAAAAAAACACAAACTGAGTGTGCTCTAATTATAACGCAACTAGAGCGGGGGGAAGGAAAAAGCCCTGACATTATGTGGGCTTACCTAGCTGTTCTGATCTCTTCCTGTTCCAGACCGGTTATGTGATGCTCTGTAGCACTTCTTTGAAAACAGGGGGAGCAGATGTGTTTACATGTTAACATTACAGTATTTATTTTTGCTCTAGCAATATCAAAATGGCCCAACTAAATAATCAGAGACTGCCTCCTGATGAGGAGTACCCGGACCTGAGCAGCCACAACAACCACATGGCCAAAGTTCTAACCCTGGATTTATACAAGAAACTGAGAGACAGAGTCACACCCAGTGGCTTCACCCTGGATGATGTCATTCAGACTGGGGTTGATAATCCTGGTAAAATGCATTGAGAACGTTCTGTGTGAACCAGCTGAAATAACTGGTGCTTTTGAATATGGCAACTTAAACTAAGTTTGTGAAGGTGGCGTTTGAGTAGACCATAGAAATGCTGCTCTGTCTATGGCAGTATGAACCAAAAAACATCAAACAAACATGCTTGCTTACAGCAGAGCAGCATAATTGTTTGGGCATAAAGTTCTACCCAGTGGTCTAAATTAGTAAAATTGGAAGTGCTGGGCAAAATTGTCTGAAACCAAACTTGACAAATGAGCATGGCTTAATGGCAAAAGCTATGGGTTTCCATAGCACTGATTTGACTAAATGGATTAAATGTAAAATATAGGGTCTCTCCACCTGGTTCTTTAATGTAAGAATGCATTTCTAAATGACTAGTCCTACCACTAAAGAACTTGCCTGGTTAGTGCTGCTCTGGAGTACAGCAAGACATCACCCGAACTTAGCTCTTCTGACTTTATTACCGCTCCAGGCCATCCCTTCATAATGACAGTAGGATGCGTAGCTGGTGATGAAGAATCCTATGATGTGTTTAAGGAACTCTTTGATCCGGTTATTGAAGACAGGCATGGTGGCTACAAACCAACTGATGAGCACAAGACTGACTTGAATGCTGATAACCTGCAGGTATACGTTTTTAATCGGTTATTGATGCCTAGTGGTCTGAGGCCTGGACACAGATGTTGGCAGTTGTGTAAAATGATTGCTCACGTTTTGCCCTTCCAGTTTCACCCTGCACAGGCTAACAAGCAATTTGTCCATTGTAATCCACAATTTAAGAGCCTGCCCGTTTGGCTGGGTAGAGCCATGCAGCTGGCGGATGAAAGGAGCTTGCTTCATGTGCTCCTGTAGTGTAGCCCTGCCAAATGTTGAATTCATGTTTTCATCAGCCATGAGCTGCTGTGGTCAAGCTTTAACAACACTGTCCTAGGACTTGAGGGCTGTCAATAAATCTTAATACTTTTTACCATCTGATCTTGGATCTTTGAAAACAAGCGAAAAACGGAAGCTATCCTAGCGATGTCATACTATAGAATAGCCTTTGTTATGGCCAGGAGTAAGGTTTTTTACGCACTCTTACAGATTTCAAATTTTACTGCAGACCCTAGCCAACGATGATGGTATTAGAAACTCCTAACTGTGGGTCATCTTAAACTAAAACACTCTGAATGGCAGTTGTGAATAATTCTCGCTTGCAAGAGTAAACACCTACCCAAATAACAAAGGTTTGCCTTATGTGACACCTGGATTCCAGATCTGAAGAGGGAACAAAACCCCAGATGCAGGTCTGAAGCAGACCTACAACTGTTTGTCGTCTGGTAATCCTGAGGTCTAGTACATGTTTAGTAGCCCTAGTCTGAGACCCAAAACAAGGGTTACGTTGGTCAAGTATTTGAGCTCATGCTGCAGAGAGTGGTCTTGAACTAAGACATCAGCTTACAGGCCAGGTAGTCAATATCTGAAGTTTAGGGGGCGTGCTGAAATGCGTGGGAGCTACTTATATTTAGGGTAGGTATTTTGATAACAAAGTTGTACTCACTGTTTTCCTAATCTTGTAGGGTGGTGATGATCTGGATCCTAATTACGTGCTAAGTTCCCGTGTAAGAACTGGTAGGAGCATCCGTGGATTCTGTCTTCCCCCTCACTGTAGTCGAGGGGAGAGGCGGGCTATTGAAAAACTCTCTGTTGAAGGTAAGGTGAGAACTGGGTGTGCTGGGAAAGCTCCTTATATCCTTTGGGCAAGAGATGTTCTTGGTGGTTTGAGAATGGAGGCAATAAGCAAAAGTCTTCAAGACTCCTAATCTGAACCTGGAGCCTTCTCTGCAAAGGGCAGTTTGAACTGTAACTGCATCAGCATTGCCGTTTGTAGCTGAGGAAAAAGAGGACATGGCAGAGGGAAGCTGGACTATGTTAAGCTGACCTTCACCGATCCAGAAAGTTTTTTGTTTTTTTTCCTGTGTGTGTGGGGAAAGGAGTTGGTTCATCATGGCTCAAACCTGAAATGTAATAGGTATGTAGCAATGTCAGGGCTTGAGTCATGGCTACAGTTTTTTGTGGCTGCTTTTAATTGACTTTCATTAACATTCAGCTTGCTCAGAGGTATAGCCTCACTCTGCTGATTGTGCAGTTGACTGGAATAAGCTCTAGTTCTCAGTGGAACTCCTCAACTGCAGTTTTTCCTTGTTTCCTTTAAGTGAGAAGAGAGGATATACCCAAGGTCCTGTCTGGGAGACTGGCAGCGTGGCCCTTCCAAAACCGCTTTAGGGCAGGGTACCGGTCCTTGTCTAGAATAATGCAGTTTGTTATATTCATGACCCTAATTCTCCTTGGAAGCACTGCAGCTCTACAGTTAAGCAGCAGTAATGATCCTAAACTGTACATAAGGGAACAAAGGCTACTTGTACAAGCCTGGAAGGTACAGACAAATCATCTGATACTGCTTTAAGTTCTGTAATGCTACAGGGGCATTGTCATTACAGATGAAAGCAAGGGAGGAACCCAAACCAGCAGATCAGACATTGCCGTACTTTGCATGTGATCTCTAAAGCGCTGAGACTGTCTAGCATCTTTGGCCCTGTCCTAAAAGTGATGCTCTCTTTCAGCTCTGGGTAGTCTGGAAGGTGATCTCAAGGGGAAGTACTATGCTTTGAGGAACATGACTGATGCAGAGCAGCAGCAGCTGATTGACGATCACTTCTTATTTGACAAGCCAGTTTCTCCTCTTCTGTTGGCATCTGGGATGGCACGAGACTGGCCTGATGCCAGGGGTATCTGGTGAGTATTCCTGGAAAGGAGGAGGTGTTGTGTTAGATACTTGGAAAAATATCTTGAAATATTGGTTGTAACATTGGTTCCAGTGAGTTGTATCAAAGCAAAATGGCAGCTTCTGAACTTCCCTTACCAAATCTAATGGTAAGCTTCTGTGTTATATCCTTTGGGGAACTTGCATCTGAACCAGCAGAATTTGGATGAGTGGTACCAGCTGAATGTGGTGCATAAGAATAAGCTAGTGTGGCTATAGCCAATGCCTTTCCATTCTGCACATTTTGTGAAACACCAGACAATTACAAAAACTTTAGGAAGGTAGATCACTTTCCTGTAAAGGAAATGTGCCACTGCATTCAGCTGTTGTCCCAGGAGTTTGAGCGTCTTATGGTAATAAACAAGAGCGTTGGTTTAGCTGCAGACTTCATACTGCAGATGTAATTGCTCTCTTACAGTCTCATTGCCTCTACCTGCAAAAATTCAACCTGTAGCTTCTGATGCTTTATCTGTATGAGCGATGAGATTTTCCACTCTAGAGACTCTGTGGCGTAAGTTGACTGATGCACAGGTGTGGAATGGAACGATTCTACGTGTTAGATGTGGGCCACATCTACATAAAACTGCATCTCAGGAGCTTCTGCAGCATAATTAACTTGCTCCCTTCTAAGATAAGGGCTAGGGTTTTTTACCAGCTAGAATCCTGCAAGCTTGTTACTGTAGCTGCTTCAGGACAACCCAGGGGAAGCATGCTGTTTCTGTAGGTCACCTTTAAGATTGCATCATCTACCTGCAGATTGCCAACACTAGATAGCGCTGTCATCTGAGCATGACTAATCTACAAGGTTGAAGTGTAAAGTCTCAATGCAGTCTGCATAAATACATATATATATATATTTTTTTTCCCTGAGGTAGTGGTTAATTCTTGATCACAATCAAGCTGAGAAATTATCAGCATGATAAATATTGACTTCAGTGCCTATTGCCAGCTACAAGCTAGGACAGGGGCCACTGGTGTTCGGAAGTTCTTGTGACGGCCTCTTCAGAGCTTTTGATTCAAAGTTAGTAGTGAAAACTCTTCTTTATAACAGAACTTTCTACCTGATATGAAGAATAAGTGCAGCTTAACAGAACTTGATCAACTTCTGGTAAAAGGCTTGGTAATACACTGCTGATAATGGTGTCATTACAAACCTTGTTGTGTGCAGTGGCTGCCTTGAAGTCTGTACTGATCACCCTTCTGCAAACTCTACTGAAAAGATCAAATCTCTTAAACTTGTAAACTCATGCCACAAATGAGCAAGGGGAATGGTTGAATTTTAGGTATTGATGCCTTAAAATTGGCCAAAGTCATGTTAGTACTGTTTCTGACCTGTCTCGGTGTCCTCTTGAACAGAGCAGGGGAAAGACTACTAGTTTAACTCTGTAAGGGCTTTCATGGACAATGGAAGTAATAGGAATTTAATCTAAGAAGCAACTAAGTGAGCCTCTTGGATAAAAGCCACTGTGAGTAATTTGGTGCCAGTATATATCCTGAAAAGGTCAAGTGGGTCAATAAGTTGTTTGACTTGTCTCCTAGGCACAATGATAACAAGACATTCCTTGTTTGGATTAATGAGGAGGATCACCTTAGAGTTATTTCCATGCAGAAAGGTGGCAACATGAAGGAAGTATTTACTCGCTTCTGTACTGGGCTAACAAAGGTAAATGCTTTATTGGTGTTGCCTGAGCAGTATATGTAAACGGTGCATGGTTCTCTGGTCAAAGCTGGCAATGCAGACTCTTCCACGCTGGGAGCGTGCCAGACATCTTGTACTGCTGGAGCCACTTCTGGGTTCTGCATGGTGGTGCTTCATAGCTTGGATCTCTGCGAACATCTTGATGAACTCAGAGCTGTGAAGGCTCTGAAAGGCCCATAATGGCAAAACATTATAGCTATGAAGTCTAGAATAAATTGTCTAATGTGGCATCCTTTAAGTACAGTTCAGGTACTTGGATAAGGTTCTCAACATGGCTCTATAAATCACAGCATTTAGACTGAGTGGGAGGAGAAATTGCTTGGATGTGGATGGGCAGAGCTGGACTGAAGTTTCTAGGCTGCATGTTTTTTCTCAGCTTTTGCTCTTGATATAAACTTGAGCCTTACCAGCCCCTTCCCTAATCCTAACAGATGTGCTATTTTGACATGTACTAAATCAAGCTTCCTAGCAGATAGTGACTTCAGATTTTGTACTGTTTCTTACACTTGGACTGTCTCACCACTGGGAGCGAGATTAAGGCCTTAAAGGCCCCTTGCTGGTGATTTTTTTTCCAAATGGAGGGGGCTTACGTGACTGACTTAAATAGCTGCTCAAACTGTTGTGGCTGTTGCTATGCAACTGAAGCTGTAAATGAGCATTAATGGATGACCTACATCCTTCAGGCAGAGAACAATATCTAAACATCTATTCTCTCTATTTATAGATAGAAACTCTCTTCAAGTCCAAAAACTATGAGTTCATGTGGAATCCACACTTGGGCTACATCCTGACCTGCCCATCCAACCTTGGAACAGGGCTCCGTGCTGGTGTGCATATCAAGCTGCCGAACCTTGGGAAACACGAGAAGTTTGGAGAAATCCTCAAGAGGCTTCGACTGCAGAAACGAGGCACAGGTGAGGTGGTGATACAGTGATGTTCCAGTCAGGCTGCCCCAGGATACCAGTGAGCCTGGCTATAGCCAGAGCCACCTCCTGGGTTACACTGACAGTTCCTGTCTCAGACCATTTGGAAGGGATTCTTGTAAGGCACGTGGGAGAATCAAGCTTCAAAATCATAGATTCAGGGAGTGTGGACATGCTGGTGCTCTGCTTGTACCTCATTTTACCCAGCTTCTGACCACTCCTAGGTACATCCTTCTCGGTAGCATTCTGAGCACCAGATAAGGTGGAGATGGTGGGGTAGCTGTTCCTGTTGTAAGCAGAGGTGGGAATCCTGATTTAATTTCTGGCTAGGGAATAGCTGCAGCAGGTACTTCTGACCACAGGCTAGGTTGTTTATGGGTTAAAAGAATAAGGAGCTAGCACGATGGCGGGCTCAAAGTGGCTCATATGGGCAGTCACGTGCAGCTTGATTTCCTTCCTCATACTAGGAGGAGGTGACTTGTAGAGAATTGTCTTGTGTTCCCACCTCTCAAGCCAGTGAGAGGGGGGAAAAAAGGTAGACTTAACCACTCTAGCAGTGGTCAGTGTGCTAACTAAACTTCATCTCTTGCACCAGGTGGTGTCGACACAGCTGCTGTTGGAGGGGTGTTTGATGTCTCCAATGCTGATCGTCTTGGCTTCTCTGAGGTGGAGCTTGTGCAGATGGTGGTGGATGGGGTGAAGCTGCTCATTGAAATGGAAAAACGCCTTGAAAAAGGCCAGTCCATTGATGGCCTCATACCAGCTCAGAAATAAAGCACTTTGTTCTCATGCTTCCTAACTTATTGGATGAATAATAAAATGTCACTCCAATTCAAACCCTGGGGTCAAAGCCCGCTTAGTTACACTGTAGAGAAGTCTTCCATCCATCTGTGTTAGAGTTTATTTTTTTGATGGCTGAGATGTTGCTGAAAACGAAATAAACTGTTGTTTTGGCCTGACATGTCTTAGATGTGGTAACTAAGCGTCTTTGAGTTCATTGGCTGCTTAGAGCAGCAGACTAGGTTTTAGTGACTTGGTTTTCTTAGTTGTACTAGGTTGACGGGCTTTGTGTGCTGGCACATCTTCCTGGCTGTACTGCTGCGGTCTGTTTCTCTGAGTTAACAGTTTACTTGTCACAGCAATAACCATGCTTTGACTTGATTGTAGCTGCCGTAAACTCATACCCGAGAACCAGTGCTAAGCATGAGTCACTGTAAACCTGCCCCACTGCTAAGGCTTTGATTTGCACATCTGCTCACGGCAACTGTAAAGCGTCGTTACCTGGCCTATGGCAAGTCAGACTGACTCCTCTGGGAGGGAGGGGAGGCAGGTCTGAGTACAAAGGGCTACTGCTCAGAGACAGGCTCTCCTTGGACTGTAAGGCAATGCTCCAAGGTCAGACTTCAGCCCTTAATGCCAGTAAGAGGGGAAAGAATCATGTCCTTTAATCTCTGGAGACTAAGAGGGTTGGTGTAAACAATTAATCTGCCTTTTAGGGTAAAGGGTGAGGTGAACCTTAGACTGAAACAAAGAATCTTCTCTGGCTGAGCTGAAGCAGGCTGGCAAGTAGAGCTGTGGACTCTAAGCTGGTTACAGAAAGCACGTTGAATAGCTTTGTGGCTTTCTGAGCTGTCTGATGGTGGCCTGTGCTCTGTTACAGATGTGCCTAACTGCCCCATGAGCCTAAAATCAAGTGGCTCTTTGCCACTTGCATCAAGTGCACGTTTAACTAAACACCTTTTCTCAGCTCTGGTCAGGCTTGCAAGCTCTGATAGGCTTACAGTGATGAAGCAAGTAGGTCTGTTTCTCCAGAATGGCTGTAATCAATGTGCATGTGCACTCACTGCATGGAAACTTCATGTTACTGATCTATGAGGAAATTTTTCCAGAAATGCTGATAGCTAGGTGCGTAGTACCCTTAGTAACAGTAGCTTTTGCAGCTCATACAACCTGGGGAGCAAACAGCACCTGTTCACCAGCCCCATCTACTTCTAAAACCTGGCTTTTCCAGAAGGAATGTAATAAAAGACTGATACACAGCTTCACAGCATGCAGCTTTGTATAGGTGTGTGTAGATAACTGAAGCTTCTTTTTGTGGAGACTGTCATGTTTCTGGGGCTGTGATTGCATGCTGTCACCTAGATGAACTGATGACTCCAGTTGGGGTAAACTAATTGAATTTTGGTGGAGGAAAGGCTGAGTGAACATCTGAGATGTGGTTTGGTTTTAGTATAGTTTTCCACATGATCAAAATTTAACTGGGTGTGAGGAGGAGAAGAGATCACATCTGAGAGTCTGATCTGCACCGGGTGATCTTCCTGTGTTTGAGTTATTCAGCCCTCCAAAGGGAGGTTTTCTATACAAGGCTTGCAAGAGCAGGGAAGGGGAAATGGTGCAAGAAACTACTGATTAATTCAGTATATTCTTTAGATCCTCCTTGCTGTGCTTCATGTCACTGCTCCACCAAAGAGTGCTAATTTAGTAGTGCCTCTCCTCAACCCGCACAACATCCTTACTGCAGTCACAGCAATTATCTAATGGAAAGAAATGCCTGAAAACTTGTCAATTTTTTTCTAGCTATGTCAGCTCGACTAATAGAAACAACAATTTCTCCCTATGCATCTTACTTTTCCGATAACCTTAGCCATCATACCTGCTACAGTTCTTTGTCTACTTTCAGCACCTGGGTCCCTGCTGTCTGAACCGGTAGCTAGCTAAAGAAACATGTTCAAAATGGCAAGTTAGTCTTTATCGCCTGCATCCAACTAGAAAATGTTTCTTTTTAATTTTCTTCCCCACCTACCACCTTAGCTGTGCTCCCTTCTGTAGCTGTCATGAGGAATAATAAGACTGTGCTTTTGTTTGTGCTTGTATAAAGCAATTGAAAATACACCAGAGAACAAATCTGTCGCAGCACAAGCTGGACAGAATGACCTGGCATAGCTGGTACTTGCTAAAAACCTCTCATCAAGAGGAAAATTAGACCTTCCACCTTAAAAGCTTTACCGTACAATTTGATTCTTAGCGTTACTCACCATCACGCTCCAGGTTTCTAACGTGGGTGGTGGGTGCCTGCTCGACGAGCGCAGCCGTGCGAAGCCCGCCGGACGGAGCAGGTTGCTCGGGCACCCGAAACTGGGCTGGGCAATAATGAGCTGCCGCGCGTCGCCGGTGCTTCAGCCTTGTATCAAGGGAAGTACAGGAAGGTCATAAACTGTTGGTGTTTTTTTATACGGTGGGGCTGCAAGTGGTGCTGCCAAAGGAGTCGTTTGTGCCAGGTAGCAGCCCGGGAGGGCCAGGAGGAAGGAGCTGGCGGGGCTGGCGGTGCGATGACCTCACGCTCGGCATCGCGTCCAGCCCTGACGGTGCTATCCATAACCGGTCCCGCAATGATCTGGGTGACCCCGGGGATCCCCAGCGGACAGGTACAGAAACTGCGCCGCTGCCCGAGAAAGTGCCGATGGTTCGCGGGCGCCTGTTGGGGGAAAGGGAAGAGCTTTCGGAAAGCCAGGCCGGAGGAGCCCTCGGGCTGCGGGCTGTGCTGCCGGACTTGGCAGCAGGTTTTGCATCTCCCTCTGAAGGTTAAACTGAACTTTTCTCACTTACAGGGGAAAGAAGAGATTGCTGCTGTCGTTGCACTGCAAGGGGGAGGCTGGCATTGATGCAGACCCCACTGCATGGTCCCATTTTACTGCCTTCACTGTCCTTGGTCTCACTGGTTAGCACGTTGTCCCTCAGCTTTCCAGTCTAAACATGCACCGTTTTTATAATGTTTACCATGAATTTCATTTTTTTTTTTTTATCATCCTCATTTTCTTCAGAACGTTTCCACCTCTTTTTAGGAATAGCTCCCTGGCCCTGAGCTGTGTAGGGTTCCCATTCAGAGGGCACGTCTGCTCAGGGGCAGAATAATTATAGGTCTCTGCTAGTGCCTGTAAATCAGCCCAGGCCACTTTCCCTCTCCGCAAATATGGCACCACGAATAGTTAATATTTTGCCTGCCAGAATCCCAGGATCCTTATTTGAGAAATAAGCTCTTTGAGAAGCCATCTACCACTCACGTTCCTTTTACTGGCAGTAGATTACCCATAAACGCACCTCATTCAGTTTTCTTGACGTCTACCAGAAAATTACTCGTGAGCTTTTACCCGTTTGGGGACTAAGTCACGTGGATGACGGTGCAAAAGCGCCTGTGAGTTCAGCATTACAGCATCGCCCCTGGCCCCCTGCCACGTCGCAGGAAGCT